ATCACGTACCATTACAATGTATCGCTGGTTGGTGGCCATGTTTGCGTGTTTGCTTGTCGTTAGTGGTCTCTCCATCGTGTGCCTTTTTCTGTCTCTTATTTCTTGTTATTTTCGGCCTGGTCACTCTTTTGTCCTCGCTCTTTTAATTTCAGTTCCTCTTTCCTTACTGTTTCCTTTTGTTTTCTCTTCTTTTTTTCTTTTTCTCTCTTTTTCTGTGCCAGATGGCCTTGTCTCTGCTTGCCTTGTCAAGTACCAAGATTGAACCAAGGGGGTGTACCTCACTCTCTCCTGCCCGTGATGGTGACTCCTAGTCTCAGTTGTTACCGCGCATAGCACGCAGAGGCAGTGGAGGACTCCAGAATATCGGTCGTTGATTTCTGTTGACTTGCAGTCCCCTCGGGGCCATTTTAATTGAGTGTACCATTTTAGGGTAACTTAGCCTGCGACCACGGGAATCGACCGCGTCGAGTGTTGGATCAGTACGGACATACGAAGGTACTGCTGTGTAGAGAGAGATCGGAACTTTTTTTAATGTGAAGACAACAACAACAATTTAGTCTATACTTGGAAGTATTTCTTGAGATGTGTTTGATGATGCCGCAGCGGATGAACTCCTGCGCTGCTTTGCACACGAACGACGAAAAATAGGCGTTGTTTGGTAACCTCGGGCTCACTACTTCTACTCACATGCTCTTCAAGTGATTTGTTTGCTCCGTCAGCTCAAGCCCGGTTATTCTAAAGCTGCTCCAGTCGTAGGCGCTCTTCCACCACGGTACCCCCGGACGGAGCTGGTTGATAGACTCGCCTCCCGTTTTCGGGATGTGGAAAAACAGTATCGTCTGACATCCTTGCGGGTCCCACGGTGCCCGTGAAGTAGTGGCCCCTTCCCCCGATGACACTGGTGCTGCTGGTTCTCCCGACTTGGCTATCGTTGGTTCTTGAACTCTCAAGAGCAGGTTCTTGCCGTTGCTCTTGCTGCTGCGTTGAATCATGGCATGGTAGCTGTGCCCGGCCCATCCGCAAGTCAGCGCCACGGTTCCGCAGCTCAGGGCGCGGATCAAGCCACTCCTCCTGCTCCAGCCATTCGCACCACGATCGGGACGCATGCCAGCCACCTCGAACGATGCAACCTCGAGTCCCCCTGTCGGCCTGTGTGGTGGTGTCAACTTCTTTCTCTTCCGATGCAATGTACGATGGATGATGGATATATTTATGCATATATTTATACGTATATATTTTTTATATGATATGTCGGGATGAATCCAAAGAAACGCGGGAGAATTACTCATCCCTTTACCCTCCCCTGATATCGAAGTACACTCTGCGTAGTCCCTGATAGGCCTTTTAGGTTGCTGGCAGAGACAGCGTTGCGTTGTTTGTGTTGTTGAGAACGCAGCAAGAGGGGAAAACATTCGGATGGATATCTACGCAGACCTTCCGTCGGCGAAGCCTTCCGCGAATGTCGCCGTCGCCTCCCCGGCCACCGCTACTGCTTCGGCGTCCCCGGCCTCGAAAGGATCATGGGCCCACTCCAAGTTCCAAGGGATGATCGCCAACCGGAGGACGGCCAAGGCCGTGAGTGTGCTTTGTTGCTTTGTTGTGTGCTGTTTGTCTATGGGACACACCGAGTGTTTACTGCTGTAACTGCTGTGCAGTGGTGTGCTGCAACACCTGAGAAAATTTCCCCGTGGGCAATGGCGATGGCGACGTGTAGAGTGCGGTTCAAATCTCTAATAACAATACCAGTCTTGCTCTCGAGGAACCGTTGTTCACATGACACAAGATACCACACCCCCCTGGACCGATATTTCAAAGCTCCATTACTCGTCGCCGAAGAGGATGGATACAAATGCAACGACACTTTTCTGGAAAGCTGTCAACGAGACACTTTCAGAACCACCGTTTTCGGCGCTGCCACGCTGTCTGCTGTGGAGAAACCGAGCTTTGAAACTAGGGCCAGGGGATGTGATATCTTACGTCATACCCGGCAAACACTTTGTCGCCATCAATGCGTGTGTGTGGGGCACAAGCCACCAGCTCGTGCAGTGAAGTAGACTACAAGACTGACTGCAGAGTTGGAGAATACGATAGGCATTGTGGGGTGCGGTGGAATTCGAAGAATCACGTCAGGAGATAACTCCGAGGCGTTACTCTGTAGTCACGCAATTTCGTATCGAAGATCCGACTCACGACCAGCCGGCGCTGTACCTACCCTTTCAACCACGGGCACACTTGTAATTGTAAGCACATGCCATCTCCGTGCAGGATTGTTTAGGGATGCACGTGGCAGATGGTGAACAGAAAACCATACTCTGGAGCGCGCAACATCTGTATCGCATGCACCTGCTGCTGCTGTTTCGCGTGTGTAGGTTCCTGACCCCCCCGCCCGCCCTCCCCCCTGGTGTGCGATAGGCAACTTCGAGGATGGCACCGCCTACCTTGAAACGCCCAGGACCCCCTTCCGCCGCTGGCGCTCGCCCCAACAAGACCATATCCAAGGCGGAGAGCTCTACCGCCACAAAGTCTAAGGTAACATTGAGCTATGCATGCGTCGATCAATATAATCTGGGGTAATGCGGACTACTTTGTGCTGTCGGCGTGCCCCCGCGATGGGTCAATTTGTGTCTGTGCAGTAATCTTCGCGAGGACATTCAGCTTGGTTTTAGTAGGGAGCACGGGGGAGGGTTAGGATAGGGGTACGACCCCGCCCCCTCTATTTCAAAACGTCCTCGCGGAGGCGGTCCTGTGTGTGGCAGTGGGTCGACGGGGCAGGGGGGCCGTAGAGGAACGATGTACCAGTGGAGGAAGACTCAACTAACAGGTTCAACAGGGATACACTGGGCGAAGGACCGGTTTCAGACCCAAATGGTCAAGGTTTGCGACGCCTCGGCCACCGCACGCCCGTTTTGCAACCTATTTCAAATCGTTCGACACAGTCAAAGCTGACTGGTCTAAAAAGTGGGCTTTTTGAGCCGCCCAGGTCAAACCGTCACAGACCAGTCGGCGCTGACTGGTCTGAAGGGATTTTGAGCAGCCGACTTTATTAGACCGGTCAGCGCTGGCTGGTCTAATGGCTTGGTTTTTATTGGTCTGCTCTAGTCGACCTTGGGTGTTCTGGAGCGAGCGCAATCGCGGCTGCCGACCAACTCTGCTCGTCCTGCCCCCCCCTCCCCCCTCCCTTCCATTGCTCTATCCCCTAAACGAATGCCCTTGCACCGTCCTAACCCCTTGTTACATGCTTCACCCTCCAGGAAACCACTTCTCCGGCCGCAACTAGGCCCCAGTCGTGGGATATGGGGTTCGGAGACGTAGATGACGACTACGACCCGGCTCGCCCCAACGACTACATGGAGTACTGCCGAGAGAGGATCGACAAGAAGAAGCAGGAGGAGCGGGATAGGGAGCTCAAGATTATCATGGAGGAGCAGGAGCGAGAGGTGTGTGAATGCTCCCTGCTTTTTTTCGTGGTACTTTTTACCTGCGGCTGTCGTGGTAACTACCCGTGATTTTTTGTGCCGCTAGGGTAGGCTGGATTGTTTGGCGTTTCCGGACGGAAGAACGGCGAGAGTAAGCGGTCCCCCTCCTCTCGCTACTGGGGATGGATCTGATGTGAAATGGGGTGACATCATAGCTGTACAGCCCGCTCGGCGCGCTCATACGCTGCATCGAAGGCTTCATGGACGGCGGAGACAACCTTCTTGCTTTGCCTTTCACACAAGAGCATGAAGACACGTATCATTTTTTTTCCCAATTTTGACGGCCGCCATCCACCGCCGACGCACAAACACTTGCAACGTTTTTCTAGCGGAAACGCCAAGAAGAGGAGCGAGCCGCCACGATCAAGAAGATCCAAGAGGCGGCCGCTAAGTCGCACGAGGTGGGAGGGGCGGGTCCAGGGGCGGCGGGGGGGGGCGTTGGGATCGGAGGCGGAAGAATCGGCGCACCAGCGATGGCAGGCGTGGGTAGAGGGCGGGGTGGTGGCGGTGGCCCCGGGCACGACGTGGCGGCCATGGACGCGAGCATGGGCCGCGGGCGAGGTCGCGGGCTTTCCAACCTCCCGGCGTGGGTCACCAAGGGGAAGGGGGCCACGCCGGGTTCTCCGGAGATGCTGGTAAGGGGAAGGGAATATTTTTTGAGGCAAACCAAAATTTGGTTTTTGATTGGTGGAAGACCAAATATATATCTTTCCTGGGGTTCGGCATAGCATGTTGATTTCCATTGAAAATCATGCCCTGGTGAGGATTGTATCCGCTCTCCTACCCTTAAACCATGATGTTTTTATCGCCCAACAAAGCCAGGTTTTGTTTTGTATTAGTGGTTTTGATAGTTCGAACACGGTTACTACTTGGCCTAGGCCTCGGGTACTAGAGAAGCCGGGTGGACACCTGCTTGCTCGAAAGAACCACCGAACGAGACACGAAACGCGGGGAAACAGCTCGGGCTGAATTCCCTACACTCGCGTTGGATGATCTCTTCGTCACGTCTTCTGATTAGGTTCTGCGGCTGGACACCATGATGTTGGTGCGGCTTTTATGGGTCAATAGGGCTCTTCTTCTTGAATACACTACACAAGGGCAACATTGCCACCACAATTCCTTATCACACCCCCCCCCCCCCCCCCCCCCCCCCCCGGTGTTTGCCATCGCGGTTGGGTTTTCGTCGCGTGGCAACCACGTTGTAGAACAAGCCGCCCCCCTCCGGTGTTGAATGGTGGTCATATAGATTATGTTGTGCGGGGTCTAGAATCCTCACTCCGCGCAAAGGGGACGATCGCACCACGTTGTGTTAAAATGGTCAAGCACCCTTGAGGCAGTTACACAGTGATTTCAAGTACAACTGTCTCTGGAAGTGAAAGCACCAGAAAATAAATTAAGTCATACGCAGTTGTAGTCCGTACGCAAGGAAGTAAGCACAAGATGCCGAAAACCCTTAGCAGGATGCNCCCCCCCCCCTCCAAAAACCAACCTATTTTTAGGAACCCCCTACTCCTGCTAGGCGCCCCCCTCCTGTCCCCGGTCAGTTGGATGCTGTTCCTGAGGCCGGCCAACGAGGTGGAAGATTCGGCCCCCAGGCTAAGGCTGGTGGTGCTGGTATCGGGGGCGGGTCTGCGGCAGAGAGCGGAATGAACTTTGCCGAGCGCATGATGGCCAAGATGGGACACAAAGAGGGACAAGGTGGGGAGCTGGTGGGGTTGTATGAAGATAGTAGGCGTCGATCATTCTGTTTTCGCCGCGTCTTGGAAAAGATGAGACATGAAGCGATTTCGCAATGAGGGGAGGGGTTGGGGCAAGCTATTTGGTCAGACCGCGCGTGCGTCTTCCGTTCTACCCGTCCACCCTCCGATCTACAGAACTCTCCCGCGTCACGATTTTTTCGGACGGAATAGAAATGATGAGGGAATAACTTTGAATGCCATCCAGCTGTAAGTGCTCGACCACTGGCCAACACGCGAACGGGCAACAAGAACTCTTTTCGCACAAGGGCGTGTATATTTATTGCGTTTGCTGTGTTGCTGAACGGCAGCGATGATTTTCGTGGCACCTCCCTCATGTCTATGTTGATGTTGGCGTCCGCGTTGCTATTCCCCACTCCTATTTGGAGAATCTAATCCTAACCGTAATCGAATTTCACACGCAGTTCGGCCCGTCTCCTTAAGCGCTTTGATTCTCGCGGTGTGCGCATGTAGCGTACTACTCAAGCACGATCGATTGACGACACCCCTTCATCTGTCTCTCCCTCTGTGTCCCTGTCTCGTCTGTCTGTCTGTCTGTCTGTCTGTCTGTGTTTCTGTCTGTCTGGTCTATTTGTCTCTGTCTGTCTGTCCATCTGTCTGTCGCTCTCTCTCTGTGTCTATCTCTCTGTCTCTCTCGTTCTGTGTGCGTCAGGCTTGGGAGCCTCGAGGCAGGGTATAAGCCAGCCGCTGCAGTCCATGTCGGCCGGAGGCGGGATGGGGGTGATCGACATGCACCATTCCGACAAGAAGAGGTGGGTTGCCCTCTGATCAATTACAACAATTAAAACAACGTTTTCGGTGGCACGGCCTGACTGGCCCTTGACTCGATTGGGAAATTTTCTTTTACCTACATATTTTCATATTTTTCACCGGAAAGGGCGCGCACCTCAATGGGGCGGCTTGCTGTGTGGTCGGGGCTTGAACGTTTGAACCAGGCGTTTGTATTGTGAAGTCTGCCTCAAGGTTTCATGCTGGTTACAGGGTATCAGGAATGTTTCCAAACGCGGGTTTTCCCACCTTCTCGCCAAACCTAAAGTTGTGTTGGGTCGCAGGGTATGCCGTTGTTTTTCATCTCGCTTTCTTTTTCTCGGGATAATCATTATGGCCGGGTCAGTCAACCCGCTGTCACGAATACCGGCCTTTGAGTTCCTAGGTGGCACCGCTCATCCCCTGTCTCCTGCTTGTGCAACCAGGTTCTGCTAAGCGTTCTCGAAATATGTATCACACCATTGCCACTGTCGCCCCCCCCCCCCCCCCCCCCCCCCCCCCCCCCCCCCCCCCCCCCCCCCCCCCCCCCCCCCCCCCCCCCCCCCCCCCCCCCCCCCCCCCCCCCCCCCC